AAGATTGAACCTATCCTCTCATGGCTCAATCTCAAGGACTCAGATCACGATCCTGCACAATTCAATCACCAAACACAGTAAAAACAAGCTACAATCAATCGTATTCCACATAATCCTAATCCGAGAGCCTATGGTCACGCACTCACCTTTGCAAACGGATTGAAACGAGGAAACAAGGCACTCCCGATATGACCCGAACAGAAGGGAATAACTCGCGACTCCCTTTNCCAAATCAAGGTCTGAAACCTGATCTGGAAACTAGACACCAAGAGCTTCGNAACGGTGTATAGAACGTCTCCTAACTCCAAACAGATCGACGCGAAAACAGCCCGCAATCTCGCTAATCGAAACTGGAAAAGCAGAGATTTCAGAAACAACACCCTGAAATCAAACGAACACAGAGAACGCAGATTACCTCCAAATCAGGATCCGAAACCTAATACAAAAACTAGACAGAGAGACCTTTCCAACGGCGTAAGGATCGTCTCCTGATTCTCTCTGGTTCAACGGAAATCCTCCCTCGAGGTGGACTGATCGCAGACTCGAGANTGCAGAAACCTCACACAATCCAACGGCCATAACTCAGCGAATACTCATCCAAAAGGCACGTGGTTTCCACCCACATCAAGAGCAAAGATAGGAGAACTTACCCTCAAAGTTTCACTCTGATCCGATCCGATCTTCCCCGCCAATCATCTCCTCCAAAAACCCGAGTAGAACTGTTTCTCTCTCAAGAAAAACACTTCTCTCACAAAACTCTCTAAAACTCTTTCTCTGATCAAATTTTTGGCCAACCCCAAGAGAAAACGCTTTTCTCTGCTTAAATACGGAACCCTAGGTTCCCTAAACCAACCCAAACCAAACCCGATCAGAAATCAAAACCACACGGTCCAATTTAAGCATGTGTCGCTTGACACAAACCTCTTGTGTCGCGCGACACAGCTCCAGCAAACAGATTCCTTCGCAAATTAAACACACGTGTCAATCGACACACAACCAAAAATCACATTTTTGGTTCACGGGCGTTACAACCTCCTTCAGGTGGGGAGCTCCCAGCTCCAGATGCCAGCTTACCACCGAGCTCGTAAGCACTTTCTAGATCCCTCCATGGGAAAGGCAAGCAAATCCCGAGCTCGATGAGGATTTTGACGATCCGACATTGCTAGCTGCCGGTCAGTGCGACCGATCCCAAGTTTACAGAGCCATCAGCTCGGCTATGAGTCTCTTAGGAGACG